GTCTGGGAGAATAGGTCACAGGCAGCTGTGTGCTTGCTTTTAAGCTTAGCCACCCAGGGCATGCAGGGTAAAGGTTCAGAGGAAGGACTTTTTAATGCCATTAACTCCAATTACTGGGAGTGTCTGAAAAAACACCCTGGGGTATAGTTGTTTTTAAGAATGTGCCTAAAAAGATTTATGAGTAGAAATATGCATTTTCCCTCAAACTATTACATAAATAAAACCAGTTGATTTTTTAAAATTTTGTTTGATTTTGGTGTGTGTGGGGGTGTGTGCGTGTGTGTGTGTGTGTGTGTGTGTGTGTGTGTGTGTTGTTGTTGCTTTTTGGGGGTAGGGGGTTAATTTTGTTTTGTTTTGAGACAAGCCCTGGCTGGTCTGGAACTCACTATGTAGACCAGGCTGGCCTCGATCTCACAAAGATCTGCCTGCTTCTGCCTCTGCCTCCAGAGTGCTGGGATTAAAGGCGTGCACCAACACATTCAACTCCACTTGACATTTTATCTTAAGTATTATAATTTATAAAATTCCATCACTCATTACAATAGATGAACTGTTCCCAAGGTCTTCAGTAATATGCTGTTTCCAGGACTTTTAATAGGAGGATGAAAATACATACATCTTGTCACAATAGCAGACTGTTTGTATGGATTACTATTTAACTCGGGCAGAGGACTCCACTGCCAGGTGTGTAATAACCGGAATTCTCCAGGTCCAGATGAGGGCAGTGAGATGCAGAGATATGAAACGACTTCCTCAGTGTCTCCCAGGGAACAAGCATTGAGCTGGGAGTTGAACTCAGACTCCCAGAGGCTTCCATGTTCTTAATGGAACAAGGGTTTGCACCCACTTTACTGGCAAAATACCAGTCCTAAAATCTGTGTTGTTCATTAGGTGTTTCATTCAGTCTTGTTCTGTCTCTCTGAGTGGCTACTATTTACACTGGCCAGGCTCCATGTGGTGGCATTGGTCAATACCTCAGGGACATTCAGTTAATTATTAGCACACATTTCCTTGTGGGCAGGTCTATCAAATAATAGACTGCTTTCATCCAACAAGGTCAAAAGATGCCAGAAAAAACAGAGGGAGACCACAGATTGTGCAGAAACTGGGCCTGTATTTCTGTGTGGAAGTTCACGTGCGTGAGGAAGCCAGACCCTGCCTGGTGTCTTCCTTAACTGCTCTCCAACTTATTCTCTGACACCAGGTCTCTACTGGCTGGCCAGCAGATCCAAGGAATCCTTGTCTCTGCCTCACCAGCACTGGGATTACAAACTCATACCATCACACCCAGCTTTTTCATGTGAGTTCTGGGGATTGAACTAAGGCTTTCATGTTTATACAGCAAGCACTTTAGTGACTGACTGACTTATCTTCCCAACTCACCTTTCAAAGCATTTTTCTAAAAATCAACTGCAATTATATATTCTCTGAAAACTCAAACACAACTAATTATTTTAACATCCCAACCTTTCTTTGAAATGTGGGGGGAAACTATTACCAAGTCACATTCGATAAAACCCCCAAAAGGGTGTTTTTGGTGTAAAAACTAACTTGTCAGTTTATTATGAGCCTAGAATTGAATTGAAGACAAGTGAAAAGGGGAGGCTGGAGAGATGGCTCGGCAGTTAAGAGCACTGATTGCTCTTGCAGAGAACCAGCACTCAGCTCCCAGCACCCACATGGTGGCTAACAACTGTCCATAACTCCAATTCCAGGGAATTCAACGCCGTCTTTCTGGCATGCATGGACATTGCAGGCCATGGGTACACTTACATACATGCAGGCAAAACACACACATAAAATAAAAATAAATAAATTAAAAAAAAATTTTTTTGGTGTGTTTGAGACAGGGTCTTCCTGTAGTCCCAGCTGGCCTGGAACTCACTATATAGACCAGGATGGCCTTGAACTCTCTGAGATCCACCTACATCTGCTTCCCAAATTCTGGGATTAAAGGGATGTGCCACCACGCCCGGCTTTAAAGGTAGATTTTTTAAAGGTAGTTTAAAAAAGTAAAGTCAGATTAAACTGATCTTTACACTGAAATATAAGAATAAATCACAGGTACATAAAAATAAGAAAACAGGTACAGGTCTATATTTTAGAGTCTTATACACTACATTACACTGAATTACTATACTACTTAAAATATTAGTTTCCTTTAAAAATAAAGTTAATCATTTTCTTGTATGTCTGTTTTTCCTGTAGCTAGGGAACTTGGTAGCTCACAGCTGCCTTAAACAGAGCACACAGTTGTGTTCCATGATACAGTAAACAAGCGAACACCCAAACCCTGCCTGGTCCTCTGGTGGATGCTGTATTATCTGACCCTTCAACAAATCTAAAGTGGCACAGAACTGTTTTCAAACTTCTTAGCCAACAGTCATTTTAAACTATAAAAATAAGAGACTCATACAGCAAATTTTTCCCTGACATATGTTGTAACCTCCAAGTTATGTTATATTGGTGTCCAAAGAGTGGGTCTTAGTGCAGTTATCTAAATCCTTAAAGTTACCAGACTGTGAATTCAGTTTTTTGGCTGACATGTTGAATCCTTATCATCTGTAATATAAAATTTTAAAAACTACATTATGAATTAACTGAGTTCAGTGAAGTTAAAAGTTTTAAATTGTAAAGTGAAGTTTATTCACCTAAATAAATCTAACAGAAGAAATTTGTTAAATTCAGTTTCGCTTTTTTCTTATAAAATAACCCCTAGACCTCTGTAAACTAGATTATTATGTTAGCATTACTTTTACATTATGATAATTAAAAGAACCATCTTAACACAAAAGTCAAAAAGTTAATTAAGTAAAAAA